AGATTTTACACTGCCATTGAGTGATCGTTTTCTCGAAAACAGAGAGAGGAGGTTAAGACCGGCGGCAAGTGAGGGGAAATTTCGCGATTATTGAAATAGTTGATGTTGACTTGAATGAATAATGCAGGAGTGCGCTGTAACGCGTTTCGTTATTTACTATAAAAATAATTCCTATTCGCAGTAGACTAGATGAAGATGGTCTAAGGATAGCCAAGTACTTCGGCTAGTTTTCTGCAGTGCAGCGGGAAAAAAATTATTTTTGCCAAATAGTCATTTATTTGAGAGGAGTATTTATTTTTTTTAAATAGCATTTTTTCAATTGAGTCGTTCCTAGACGAGCCTGACTTGAGCTCCAACTATAATAATCGTGTTGCTCTAGAGGATGAGGATTATTACAGGACCCTGGATGAACTCCTCTAATGATCATTCATTTTTCCTAAATTTCTTATTTTCTAGAGGGAGAGAAATATTTTCAGTAAAAATTACGGAACAATTCACATAATCCGTAGTGGGGAATCGTGTTCTGGCAATTTCAGAATTATTTATTTTTATCTGTGTCCTACACTGTTGGAAATTTTTTGGAATTTAAGTAAAAGATGCAGTTGAATTCTCAATATTCTGAAGTTGAATTCACTTTCAAACTAAATTGCACGTGGAATTCCCGATTGATTTTGGAAATTCAATAAAATTGGGTTTTTCATGATGATCATTCAATTTTCAAGGACAATTTGGGTTTTCAAACCCTGTCGTAAAAATTAAGCAATACATTCAGTTGAATTTTCAACAAATTGAAAATTGAGAAGAAAAATTGTCTGAATGTTCATGATTTTCAGTAATTTTAATTGTCGCATGCACCTGAGAAATTCAATTTCATTGAATATTCAAGAACATTGACTGATTTATCAACAACAAGATGAATGGAAATTCCATGTAAATTATTCCTCGTTAAAAATTTCAAGATTTTTTACTTGAAATTGATTGAAATGAATAATTTAGTAATTATTATTACTAATAATTACCAAGTTATTAATATTAACAATAATTTAGTAAAATTATAATTACTATTTTTACTTAAATTAAACGATCACGATATTACCCCCATCAGCGATTTAAATCCAGGTGCACAGACCCCCCCCCCCACCATCTGCAGCCACTCAAAAGGTGTAATATCGATGATTGACCAATTTTCGATAGCATAATTGGCCCCCACCGGGTGCAGGCTGCTCTCTTAGTCATTCACCGGGGCCCTTTGACTTCATTCTTCTCCCCTAAAAAATAGATATGAATCTCAAACACATCATAAACGTCGGAGTGACTTTGCCATCCACACCCTGTGATTCTTCATTCTCGGTGCTGATGGGGATAGGGAAACACGTTTCTCGCACATCGTTGAATTATCCACGGGCTTTTAGCTTTTTCCTCTGGCGTGAAATCATCCAGACCGCACCCACTACCCGACGGGTCTGCCAGACTCGGTGGGGGATAGCTAGGGTGAAATCTTCTTCGATGCGCCTTATGGAAGTTTAAGGAAAAATGGTGGACAAATGTTGTGAAAGGATTTTTTCTTTTCAATTTATTTTTCAATATTGTTCATTATTTGTAAAATAATCATGACGATAATTTATTTTTTTCTCCTTATTCTTATATTATTATTATTATTATTATTATTATTATTAATGTTATTATTATTATTATTTGCCTATAATGAATTTAATACACAAAATTTATTTAGATTTTTTTGTAATTTTCCAAGTGAAATTTAAAATTTCACTAAATAATTAAATATAACAAATGGATAAATGATTGTAAAGAAAGTTCTTAAATAAATGCAAGAGAGAATTATTTACGCAATTATGAGTATGTTTTAATAATTAAAATTTTTTAATGAGAATTGCTCAAACTATTTGAATCTTTAATGAAGTGATGATGTGTTGGGGGGTCAGAGCCAAATTACGATGAATTTTCAATTGAATTAAACTTTGAGAGAATTCAGGGAATAATTAGAATTATGAGTATAGCTATACCTGTGGAATGTAAAATATTAAAATGGAAATATTCTGAGTAAAGAAGAATTAGTGTTTGTTCAGACAAGAATTAGTGTAAATTTAGAAATCCTTATGTATACGAGGAATGAATGTATTTTTTACAGGAAAAAAAATTGTTAACTCCAATGGGTGTATTTATGGACGGTGAGAAAAGTTGTGTAAAAATTACTTTGAAAATCGTGACAAATTTTACTGTACGAAAAATGGGAGCAATTTTGCTGCGTGACGATTCGCGGAGACCGCAAGCTACCCCGATATGACATCAGTTTCCAAAAAAGTGTCTCAAAAAGTTCAACCGAAAATTGTTGCCACGCCGTCTCAAACCCCGAGTCAAGTCATCTAAAATGATAAATCAACAAAAAAAACCCAATCCCCACAACTAGACCACCGAAAACCGGCCCCCCCCCCCCGAAATCCAATAAATCCAATTAGACTGAAATAATCCATGCGCATTTGAGCAGAAAGCCAGCATACACTTTCCGGGTATCTCCCGCTCGCTGCAAGCGCCCGCGTGCGTTTGCGTGCTAATGCCAAAGCACTAATTTATGGTGCAAAAGCACGAGTACACGGGAAAATATCATCGGTGTTGGCTGAAGGTAGTGCACAGAGCGCTGGGTACAACCGCAGGGCGAGAATATTCGCCCAGCGGTTGTAATGTTTGAGGGGCAAGAAAGAGATGGACACATTAGACGAAGTGAGACGGCTGTAGCGAGGGGGCTTTGCATGCGATATCAATAAATCAAGTCTCTGGGCACCCCCGCCAGCTTAGGACGGGGTGGGACCCACTACGTGGCCAGAATCAACAGCTCATAACGTCGGCTAATAGCTACCGGTGGGCTCTACTCCCCCTCCCTCTCGCTCTCCTGTATGTGCTGGGGTCCAAGATATTGTAGTTACGCCGAGGGACACCTTATCGCTCTGCCTGATACCTTATGTACCCGGGAACATTATATACCGATACCCAACGCACACACAAACACAATATCAGGTCGGATTTTCCTTTGAATCTCGACTTTTCCCCTCGCTGTCTCGTCAATTTGCTCTAACAAAGAACTATTTTTGTCGGTGGTTATTATCGCTTCGGTGGGGTGATTATTCAGTTGGGAATGTGGCGGTTGGATTTATTCGGTTATACACAGAAAAATTGGTCCTTTTAATCAAATAAAAATTTAAAAAATTAAAAAACTATTTCAATCATGAAACGTTTCATTTACAAACAACGCATAACGCAGTTAAATTCATTTTAATTTTTAATGTTTTAAATGCATTTTAGTGTGAACGTTTTATCCATGAAATAAAAAATTTTATTCGAAATTTTTTACTTAATTCAAGAATATTTTTGTTGTAAATGGATGAAATTGTTTTGTTGTTTCAAGAAAAAGGATTTAATTATATGAAACAAACAAGTTATTCATTTTAAGAAAATAGTTTCATTTGATTCAATGGAAGAGTTTACTTGGATTAAATAAAAATTTATTAATGGTAAAAAAACATTTATTGAATATACACAAAGCTTCCAAGAATAAATTTTATTTGATTTGAGGAAAAAAATTATTTGGTACTATTTAAATTAACTTGTTTATTTGATTTAAATAAATTTTATTTAATTCAAATGAATCATTTTTCTGGGTGTGGGTTTATGCACTGAGAGAAATGCGAAGTAGTTCGCAAATGAGTTTCGTTTGGAGTGAAATAATCGCAAGTTGAACAATTCAATTTCAAGTTTTTTTATTTTGATTTCAAGTTTCGAACGTGAATAATCACTCTGCTTTCAATAACAACGAAATATTTGAATATATACGAAAATATATTTTATAGAGGGAAGTTTATCAAGAAATATCGTCTCATTTTTTATTCTTACGTTCTTTACCGACACCTAATTAGTGTTTTCCTCTGTGAAATGACCGGACTACGTCTGGATTTATGAATAAATCAGCCAAAAATATATCACGAGATGAAATATTTATCATGCCATGGAATAAAAATCAGAGTTATTGTATTACAATCGGTGAATTCTGAATGATCCTACTCTCGGGCTAAGAATATCTGAATGAAAAATGAATATCAGACTACTGGATCTGCTGTGGACGAGTGGAACGAGCCCCAACGTGGTCAGACATGTGGTTTATATAAAATTTCCCTCTCGAAATCCGATAAATTAACAGGTTTTCATCAAAATGGAATTAATCGAGTCCTCTGCATCTGGGCAGATGCAGTCACAGTGTTGGAAAAAAATTGACTGCATAAATGTCGGTGCACTGAGAGAAAAACGACAAAGTTCTCAAACAAGTTTTATTTCTGCCAAGAGAATAGTTTTTTGAAAATTATCAAAAAAGGATTTTTTGTGCCAAACATGCAGAGAGTGCGTCGGAATGCAAAATTTTTGTCGCAAAAATAGATTTAGTAGTTGAAAAAAAATTGCGTTCTCTGTACAAGCAAGAAATGTCATTTCTAGCACTACTCCTTCGTTATTCGATACTCCCACACGTATTTTGCTCCCGAAAAATCTTTGTTTTATGCGAAACAAGGGATAGTAGTTTTTCGTTTCGGCGGTCTAATAATCACAGACAACAAATGAACCCTTAAATGAAACAATAATAATCATATGATAGCAATCTTGTAACTTAGAGATAAAATATTTGTTGATAAATTTTCCTCTATATGAGATATTTTCATCCTGAAAAGGCACCGTCTGGTGTGAATTATCCGCCTCTTGAGCCAAATATTTCGTTGCTGTCGAAAGCAGAACAATTATTCATCCTTGAGACTTTCAAATTCGAACCAAACAAATTCTTTTTTGGCAATTTTCAACTAGCGATTTTGTTGGCCCAAACAAGACTTGTTTGACAACGTGTTTGTTTTTCTCTCAGTGTGGAAAAAAAATTGTGAGCAGGGTAATCAGCTGCTCGAAAAACTCAGAGTAATGAATTTTTTCATTTCGTTTTTTCGTCTCAGGTCTGGTTTCAAAACCGCCGAGCCAAATGGAAGAAGCGTAAGAAGACGACGAATGTCTTCAGAACCCCGGGAGCACTATTACCCTCCCACGGACTGCCGCCATTTGGAGCGATGGGCTCAGACCTGTGCGGCGCAGCTGCTGGAATGTTCCACGCGCCTACTGACCGGTGGGGAATGGGCCCAGGTTGTTGTCTGATCCTATGTCACGAGACATCCCCAGAGAGTGGCCGATGGGGTGGTTGGGCTGACTGAGATTACTGTTTGTTTTCAGGTCTTGGACAGCTGGGCCAGGGTGGAATGGGCATGGCTGGCTTTGGCCAGAGCCTCGGACAGCTCAGTCAGCAGGGCTCGGGGGGTCTTGGCTCCAGTCTTGGCCTGGGGAATTCAGCGCTGCCTATCAGTAGTCCTTCCCAGACTGTTTATCAAGCTAGTTATGGACTCAATTCCTTGGGTGAGTTGGTTAATTGAGAAATTAGGCGAGGCCACTCGATGGAATTCCGAAGGATACCATATGATTTCATATGGTAATTTTTATTCTGACCCTCATTTTTTAACCTCCAAAAAAATTGTGGCCTGGCGTAGTGGTTAAGGCCGTTGCCTCACAACGGATAGGTTCCAGGTTCGATTCCTGGCCGGGTAGAATGGTGAGATCTAACCATTTTTAAAGTCTTGATCAATCGCCATATAGTCTCATCAGACTCGAAGGGATATAAAATAAGCATTAAAAAAAAAATGAATAACAAAATATTATTATGATTATTATTATTATTATTTAGAATTATTTATATTGGGATTTTTATTATTGACTTTTATTAGATAAATAATTAATTTCTTGCTCCGGAGAGTCTACGTGTTTGGTAAACGATAGTTTCATGTTGTTGTTTAATTTATATTGTTTTAGTTTTTTTTATTCCAATTTCCGCCTTCACAATTGGATTAATTGAATTTTATCCGTTCTTATTCTTATTATAGTTTTTTTTTTCTTAATTCACAAGTTACAACATTGAATGAAAAGGAATTATGGTGAAGATCAATAAAAAGTGTTTTTTTGTGATCAAAATAATCAGAAAAAATAAAAGTCATTCCAAATCTCATTCGGGTAATAGAAAAATTACGAATTGGAGACTGAAAGTTTTTAAAAAAGGGTGATCGGCTAAAAAATCGAAAATATTTTTTTCTCATCAACCATGGAATGAGGGTTTTGTCTTCGGCCACGAACGGGATGAAATGAAAAAAATGCCAAAAAAATTGGACAGCAAGAAACAAAAAAATTAATGCTTCAATGTCTCCGGAAAGTTTTAAAATTGACATATTTTTTCGAATAGTGGAAGAATGGATAGAATGACTAGAATAAATGACAGAAATTGAGAATTGGTGACTGCAAATTTCATCGTATTATTATTATATAATAAAAAAAAAGTTGACTAGTGAAAACCTAAAAAACCGTCAGAAAATGTCAAAAGTCGAGTTCATCAAATCCGCAAATCCTAAAAACTCGCGATAATGAATTCAAGAAGATCTCGCACGTAAAGAATTTGAGCCAGAAACATAAAGTCCATCCAAGTCGAGTGTTTGCGCAGTGAGACCTCAAGGTGGTCGCACCTAGGTGTGAGATCTTTCGCTGTTATGTTTACCATAACATCCCGATGCAACTTGTCTTGCTTCACACAAGATTCCACCCGCCAGGCACAATATTGAACATTATTTTCCGAAAAAAGGGGGGGGGCGGGGTCCTGGTCCTCGTCCGGAGCTCATGAGCCTCAAATATTTGGGCGCTCACACAAATGCGAGGGTCGCTGACAATTTTTTTCACCGGAAATTTTGACAATTCCTCGTTTTTCGGGCACTGTGGCCTCAGTTTTTTCGATGAACGACAATTTCGTAGCTCCTCGCTGGGGCACTCACACCCTCGGACACATAATGCAGCATTTCATTGCGTGGAACGACCAATTAGTGTGGATTATCACCGTGAGGCAGCATCTCTCGTTACTTAAAAATGGATCGTCTTTTACGACTGCAATTATTGGTGGCTGTCGCAGCTACCGTTTTCTCTTTTTTCCTCTCTCTCTTTTTCACTCGTGCAAATGTATCGGTGGGATTCTGCACGGTAGTTATAAGCCTACAACGATCAAGACACGTCTCCCGACGGATAACAACTCCGGCAAACACCGGGAGAGCTCGGCTCTAGTTTTTTTTTCTCTCCAACTTCAGTTTTCAATGATGATTAGCACTTCGGAGGCGTGAGACGCCGAACGACTCATAGAACGATCATTATGCGAGGGTGGTTGTGTGTGTATAGACTCTGGAAACAGCTACCGAAAACGTAACTCCTATGAAGCGATAATTAACACCAACGAAAATGGCCGATTTAATGTTGTTCATTGATTTTTTTTCATTTCGTGGCTGAGGGTCAACGGGTTTAGGAATTTTCGAGGTCTTTGTTGGAGTTTCGGTGCCGAAATGGGGGGGAGAGTTTGCTGTGAGCGTTGACGGCTCACAAGTCTCTCTTAGCGATGCTTCGGTGTGATTGCATTACGAATTTGAAATTTATCAGTAGATAAGAAGTTGTTTATTGATATTAGAGGGAACAGCTTGTTGTTTTCAAATGAAATTGTCATTTTTTTTATGACACGACTCATCTCGAAATCCAACGGTGATAGCAAAATTTTCGTTAAGACCTTTTTTGCAGCCCTCAGTTCTCCCTACAAAAAAGTTGGTGATGAATATTTCGTTATCTGTCTTAGATTCGGAGATATTTCTCGAAAACTCAGCTGAGGCCTAAATCGGCACTGAGGAGTAACAGAATGCCGCTTCAAAAATTTCCTGCCGAAAGTTATCGATCGATTTTTATGAATCAAGCACACATTAATCACATTAATCTCCAGAAAGCGATGATGAAGATCAATGTGCTTTGGGTTTAAAAAATATTAATAACTTTGAGCAGGAAATTGGCCTTCTGTTAACCCTTAATCCGTCAGTAGGCGCGCGGTTCCACCAGCAGTCTTGATTCTTGGGAGTCGCTCATAGGCTTCTCATAAGAATAGAGCCAAATATCGCCGCAGGCGGCGCTGTTCGGGGAAAAATTAAATAAAAATTACCAAAAAAACCGTAAAATTACGTTTCGAAACGTAATCCGCGAGCGAAGTAAAATTCAATAAAAAGTGTGAGTCATAATTACGTCAGGATTACGTGAATTGTTCCCTAATTTTTACTGAATATTTCCCTCCGTGCACGATAGACGACTTTCATCACCACCCGACTCAACAAGAAGAGTTACTTAAGGCACTTGAAAAATTTCTGCAAAATATGTGCGCTTTTAGGGTAAATTTCCTAAGGAGTGAAAACTAAACTTGGACCAGAGACTTTCTTCTCTCCGTAATGAAGCAAAGTTTTTCCATCATTAAAAAATAATCAATGGCTCCTTTCAGGTGGTGTTCACGTGTCAGCGTCCCGTGGTTCACCACCGGGTGCCTTGACAGTGGGTACTGGTGGTGGACAGGGTGGAGGTGGCCTGGGTGGTGGCATGAACTGCGGACAGGGCTCGCCGGGTGCTGCATCCGGCAGTGGTGGCGGTGTATCCTGTGTGGGTAGCGCAGACGGTAGCGCTGGTGAGGCATCAGATTGGAGAGGTGCTCACAGTATTGCGGCGCTCAGGCGTCGTGCATCCGACGCATCCCAGCAGTACAGTCCGCAGCCACCACCGCCCCCAGGACCGCCCCAGTACTCGTCCCACGATCTCGAGTACAGTTCCGTTTACTGAGGCTGAATCATCACAACGTCTAAATATATATTGAATTGAATGGGAAAATTCCTTCGGGAGAGATTAAACCGGAAATCATTGGTATACGAGGAGAGTTTTAGTTTTATTTCGTTATTTTATTTATCTCGGGGTGTCGTTTGTTGCGAGCTAAGCCGAGGGCGATTAAGTGAGAATTGAAACATGTATACGATAAAGAACGAGAAGTTTAAATTAGTTTTAATGTATGGGAGTCGTGTAAATAAATAACAGTCGAGGCCGATCCTCCGATGTTTTTGCAGTGTTGCAATTGCAGAAATGGATATTGAATTCGGGGAATTGTTCGCATTATTTTATCTCGTCGATTTTTTTTATCACTGTTGGATCTCTCTGGAGGTGCATTATTGAGTCACTGAGAGAAAAGAAGTATTTGCGAAGAGCAGAATCGCAATAGAATCGCAAGTTAATAATTTGCAAAAATGGAATCTAGTGCTCAGGTTGAATTCGATTTAAGGGAAAAAGTCAATGGAATTTTAAGTTTCTCGGAAAATTAACGGAAATTCCAGAATTTAGATGAATGAATTCCCGAAATTTTTGATGGAATTCCCTGAAAATTCGGAGAAATCGGGAATTCACCGAGCGATTTCTCGGAATTTTCCTGATTTTTCATTAATTTTCCCCAAATAATTAAACTGAAATTTACAGGTCGGGTGGATTTTTCCATAAAATTATGAATTTTCAATGACAAAATTCCCTGAAATTTCAATAGACAACTTATTTGCGAAAAAATTCCAAAATTAAAAAGAAATCTTGTCAACCTCGATATTGTCAATCTCTCGTAAACGATCCGCCTCTAGAGCCTAATATTTCGTTGTTCTTTCAGATCACAACGAATATTCACGTTTAAGACCTTCAAATCCGACTCAACCAATTTCTTTTTTCAAAATTTTGGACTTGCGATTTTTCATTCAACCAAGATTTACTAGATTTCCTCTCAGTGCTGGGTAAGGTGAGGTGAAACGGACCCTCCTCAGTCATGAATATTTCCCGTGCAAATGACAATTTTCTCGAATTAAATCTCCCTTTAAACCCCCCAAAAATACCTTTGAAATGAAAAACGTTTCACCCCACTCACCCCTTCATTTCGTTCATTTGGGACAGCCAGTATTGCCAATGGCTTTGGTATTCATGAATGAAGATTATTAAAAGTGACAAGATATCTGGAACTTAGCATGGCATGAAGTCGCTCAAGGAAATTCCAACAAAATCTTCTATTTTCTTTTATTCCCATTTATTTCTCACTGAAGGATTCATTTTCCACTGATAATCAATATTCGAAGAGAATAAAATTGTCTTCACCTCACAACACGAACACTCGGAATTTCCTTGAGCCTCGACATTCCAAGAAATACACATATTATAACAATTCTAGGAATAAACCAGAAAAAAACTGTTTGATTGTTGCGCATTTGGGAGACATGTGCAGAGATTTTTGTAAATAAAGTATACGTCTTACGGTCAACATAATAAAATACATTAAGCATCAATAATGGATGATAAGTTATCGTATTAAAGAAATTGATGATAAAAATGAATGAAAAAAATAATGAAACACGAGTATACTTGGACATTGTGATATTAAGGAGCATAGACTGTTCTTTTTCTCTCAGCCAACGCTCCATTATGGTATTACAGATTTTTTTTCTGATGAAGTCATAATGAACATTGACATGAATAATGCAAACATCGAGCGGTTCATTGGGTATTCGTCAATGCCGCGTGCAAAGATTGAATATTCTAGTTACGAATTTAACTGGGTAGAGTTTACCATAAATTTAATCGATTTAATCGTAATTAAATTTAGGCAAGTTGTCGGTGTATCACAAAAATGTATACGATTTTTAATGTACAAAAATGAAGGTAAAGATAACTAAAAGCAAATAGAATTTTTATTTGAAATATAACTGAAGTATCCTCGAATCACGAGTGACGAGACTTGATCGTAAATGATTCAATGGGATCTAAGGGGGTGAGATTATTTTGGAAGTATGTTAATTTAAAGTGTTGATATGTGTAATTGTTGATGAATCATTTGTTTTCCGTTATTTAGCAGGGAAAATTAACAGCAATAATTTGATATATTTTCTTCAGTTCTACGATGAGTTCCAGTGGAAATCGATAAATGAATGAATTATCATTTTCATCGTTGTATAGTTGTGTATAGAGGTCAACTGAATGTATAAAATAAATAATTAACAAAGAGACGAGAGATTTAATTAATTGAATTGATGATAAACCCGAATTGTCGAATTGAAATTCATTAAAATGTAGACTCAAACCATTCACTTAATGACTTTGTAATCAACGTTTAAGCCACTGTGAGCATTTATTATTATCCAGAGATACATAATGGGGTAATCATTGAGTCACTTAACACCATTTCGCATTAGTTATCTTGGCAAGCACCTCGTACTGGCCATTCATGCCCTCTCTTATCCCGTTTTTACGGTGTATAATGTCAATTTGCACACACTGACCTCTCGCCAATGGTTCCCCCCCCCCCGCCGTCCACCTCGAGGAGGAAGGTAAATGAATTAAAAATCCATGGATAGTCTCAACATCGTCTGGTAATGAACATTACACTCATACAAACATTGATTTTTTTTTATTGAAAATATACACTTTCAGGATTGGAATTTAAATGTCAGAGAAATGCAGATTTTTTATGTCAAGCGACAGATGAACCGGTGGAAATTCACATTCAGATGGATTTTTTGCAGGTAATTAATTATTCAATTAAGCCTCTACGGGTGCACTGGGGTTGCTCATCACTTTTACAATTCAGTTCAGATCATACTATGGATTCAATCATTTTCAATCATCAAATTTGTCAATTCAATTGCGTGAGAAAAATTTAAAAAAAAATTATGAATATTCAGCGTCATCAAAATTACATTTTCAACAGAATTATTATTTTTTTAAACATTCGTTGTTTGTAAATAAATGATTGAAATTGTTTAAGCTTTTGAAATCCTTATTTTTTAAAAATCCTTATTTTTTAAAAATTTTATGGTGGAAAATTGATTGTTTATGAATTATTCATTCAAATTAGGTTTTATCAACCGTTATTAACATATTCATTAATTTGGGGAATGTGTTAATAAAAAATAACAGAATTAGAAATTTGGAATTACAAATTCAAAATTTAAAATTTGAATTTTGGATTTTTTATGAGCACTTCAATTTTTTTCATTGCATATACGTTTTTTCAATCTTTAAAAATAATAAATTATTTATAAAAAATGCGCGTACTTTTCAAAAATGACAATTTTTTAATTTCATCAATTTTTCTTCGAAACTAAATTTTCTGTTCTTTTGCAGATTTTTCAAATGTATTCTAATGGTTCAATATCGACATTCAAATTCAGACCTGCAAAGTTTAAACAATAAAATAATTGTAAAATGTCCGGAAAATTGGGATCACATGAAAATAAATAAAGTTTTTTAGAACCGGAATTTTTTTTCATATCTTTCACATTTCTACTGTTCGAATAAATATTTCCTTGAACTGCAAAATTAAATTTACATTCTTGTCATGCCTCAGGCGAGAATAAACACGTGACATCGGGTGGGGTGATGAACCACCCCAGTGTATCCGTAGAGGGAGCGAGATGCACAAAGTGCACTGATCGAGGGCTAATACTGATTCAACGTTTTAATTCTCTCGATATGTTCGAAATTTCATGCTGTGTCTGCTGGTCCATTAAGTTTCGTCTGATGGGGTAAATATCAGACTTTTCTACTTGGCATCAGTTTCATTACCTCTTTCCATCATTCATTAATAATTAACACCGTAAAATAATCGTCAAGTCCCCACGAATCGACGGTTTTGAATGACTTTATCCATTTGAATGAAGAATATTCATCGCGTATTTTTTTATTCCAATGAACAGTAAAAAATTACCCGCGACTTCTTGATTTTTCACGATTACTCGAAACGAAAAAATACGCCTCTAATTCTCGCCATTCAATGATAAAAAAAAAATTCACACAAACGCATTCACAGAAGTGGAAATTACACGATAAAATGAGAATAAAAATGCAATCGAAGATTGGTTAGATCCCCTGCAGTTTGTTATTTATTAAATAATGAGGCTCTCCTCTCCGCGCTCATCTTCGGATGTCTCGGGCTCTGTGTTCAATTTACTGAAGTCCTTGGTATTGGGACGTTTGTCGAACCGACGAAAGCCCTTTTTACCCTGTCGTGATTCCAGTACTCGCGACAGCTTGAAGTTTTCTTTTCTATCACTCTCCCAGTAAGACTTCCTACGCACTGATAATAAGCACCCTGTGTTCATAAGAAAATATTCTTCAATATTGCCACCGAAATCATGAAATTGTTGACACATGTCACATCTAAAACCGGAGGAGAAAAATAAAAAGAATAATCAATGAGGAAAGGAAAAAAAATTAACAGAAAATAAAAAATAACTGATTGTAATTAACTGTATTTGCCTCTAGGAATCGATGGGATATTGCACAATAACTTAAGAAAATTATAATACTAATGATTTCGGTTGTGCTCGAGAGCGGCAGATTAATTCAGGTTAATTAATATCGGCACAACCAAAGTGTCTTAATTAAGAAAATCATTGAGTACAAATTTGTTGAATCCTTCCAACTAAAGCCCCCTGTGTTCATAAAAAAATATTCTTAAATATTACCATCGAAATCATGAAATTCCTGACACATATCACATCTAAAACCGGAGGAGAAAAATAAAAAAAATAATCAATGAGGAAATGAAAAAAAAATGAACAAAAAAAAAGAAAATAATTGATTATAATCACTTTTTTTTGCCTCTAGGAATCAATGGGACATTGCACAATAACTTAAGAAGAATATAATACTATTGATTTCGTTTGTACTCGAGAGCGATAAATTAATTCAGATTAATTAAGTTCATGGATTCCGCGATGTGTCAGCACAACCAAAGTGTCTTAATTAACGAATTCACTGAGTATAAATTCGTCGAGATGCTCACAGCAGGTCTTAAGTGACTTATTATGCCTTCGAATAATAAAATATCGGAATAAAATGAATAAAGTAACATCACACGAGAGGAAGACGATCAGTTCTCCCAAAATACTTCGTAGAAAGAGAGCAAAGGGTGAGGGGATTGCGGGAATTGCGACGAGGTGAACTAAATAATAAGGATTTCAATCGACTAGCCGTCTGAATTCAATACTGGGCTCATCGAGGCCTGACCAACTACCTCTCTTCTGGCATCTGGCGACCAGGGCGGCCACTGCTATGCAGAGCCCAATGACGATCGTGGAACTGATGATGGTGATGAGGGCTATCGTCACGCTTCCCACTTTCTTTGGTTCTTCACCGATTGTTGTGCTTGTCAGGAGTTTAGGCCCATGTTTTGGGGGTGCTTTCTCGGTGGATGCTCCAGGGGGTGGTGAAGTGCCGGCTGGAGAGGAAATTCACTGTCATTCGATCGTCATTTAATTGCGAAGGGAGGAAACGATACGAAAGGAACAAAAAATGAAATTTCTTGAGTTTTTTCTTAAAAATGGGAAATTTACGCCGTAACATCAAAAAATTAGTTTCAAACCCGACCTCCGTCGATTTTTCGCATTTCCTCAAATTGATGATTCGTACTATTTCGCCCAAAAAAGAATGGACACAATATTCTAAAACCTATAAAAAATGATCATCTATGATTGCCAGCAAAACGAGAAAATTCATTCATTCATTTCAAACGAGATTCGTTAACTACTAACGAATGGTAGAATTGAATATGACCAAATATTTGTCAATAGTGAACGAATGGTTCACTTGAAAAGCAGAACTCGAGTAAAACAAGGCTCCTCAAACGTGGATTTGTTAACTATTAACGAACGAACATTTGGTGAGACTGAATAGTTAACAATAACTAATCCTTTCCATCAGTGTATTCATTTTACGAAGTTCCGTGATTGAAAAATCGAAAACTTCATCAAAGTTCTGGTTATTTGATGAAGAAACTCCCGGAAACTAAATTTATGTTCAACTATTGAGTGCATTAAGTGTATGAGCATCACTCATACGAACCCCATTTCTTCGAGGCATCACCCATGTCTTTTTTAGAAAGAATTACGTAAACACTTAGCTGAGAACGTAAGGGCGTGATTTCAAGCCCGACCTCCGTCGATTTTTCGCAAATTGATTTCCTCAAATTGCTGACTCGACCTCTTTCGTCCAAAAATGGACGAAATATTCCAAAACCTATAACAAAGATCATCGATCTCCAGAAAGACGAGAAAATACATTACCCTGTAGAAATCTGTAGACAACAGATTTTTGGACACAAATAACTGATTTGTCTACAGTGACAGACTCATTCATTCATTCCAAACGAGATTCGTTAACTACTAACGAATGGTAGAATTGAATATGACCAAATATTTGTCAATAGTGAACGAATGGTTCACTTGAAAAGCAGAACTCGAGTAAAACAAGGCTCCTCAAACGTGGATTTGTTAACTATTAACGAACGAACATTTGGTGAGACTGAATAGTTAACAATAACTAATCCTTTCCATCAGTGTATTCATTTTACGAAGTTCCGTGATTGAAAAATCGAAAACTTCATCAAAGTTCTGGTTATTTGATGAAGAAACTCCCGGAGACTAAATTTATGTTCAACTATTGAGTGCATTAATTAATAAGAGCGTGATTTCAAGCCCGACCTCCGTCGATTTTTCGCAAATTGATTTCCTCAAATTGCTGATTCGACCTCTTTCGTCCAAAAATGGACGAAATATTCCAAAACCTATAGAAAATGATCATCGATCTCCAGGAAAACAAGAAAATACATTACCCTGCAGGAATCTGTAGACATCATGGCTGTCCAGCTCGACAACGTAGATCTCCCTGCCATCCCGGCTGACAGCAAGATCGTGCGGAGCCTTCATGTCCTCCCCAGGTCCGAACTGCGACACAACATCCCCGGAATTGACATCCAAGCTGTACCCCCTGACGTGAAAGCTCTGTAAATAATCATTTCCGTTGACAGTGTAAATTCTCCCCTTGGCATAAGCGACGCTGTAAACTCTACTGCCGACAGCGGGATGCCTGTACTCCCTGTGGAAGCTCTCGTTTTGCGCATGAAAACAGAGGATCCTGCCGTTCTCCCTGTCGGCAACGTAGAGAAATCCGAGGTCTTCGGCGAGTGCCAGGGCATGAGGTACGTACAGGGAATAGGCTGAGGGCTGGTGGTGCACCCCAGCCAACCAGGCCCTCCCAAATTGGGAGATTCTCTCGCCCTTGGGGTTGAATTTTATGACACGAGAGTTGCAGTAGCCATCGCTTACGAAGAAGTCACCGTTCTTCATCACTGCGACTGCTGTCGGCTTGCAGAATCTCTGATCGTCGTTGCCAGGCTCGAAGGGATCGCCGAGGGCCAGCGAGGGCTTCACTATCGAGTCTCTGAACAGATCGTTGAGGTCAATTGTTGTCTCTCGTCGAGGCCCCGAGGCCTCCGCCTTCTTCAGGGCCTCTGTGTTCTTATCTATTTCTGATGAAGCGAACTTCAGGACCATGTGCATTGCCACATCCGTCAGCCAGTAGTTCCCGTCGCCATCGATCGTCAGACCGTGGGGGAGGTAGAACGTGTTGCTTCCCCACTCGATTATTTTTTTACCCTCTTTGTTCAGGAGGACTACAACGTTCTCGGGAATGGGGCCATTGCGCGGATCGAACTTGTTGTTCGTGGCGAATGTGTCCTGTCCCCAGACGCGCGTTCTTCTGCAGAAGATTGCTATGTTTCCAGCGGGATCTATGTCCACCGCGGACAGCTGACCCAGGGTGGATGTTGATGTCCAGTTTTTGTCCCATTTTATGTCTGAAATTCAGGGCGGTTTACAGGGAGGACGGGAATTAGTAGCGAAGCGCGCTGTCCGTTTAATGTCGGGAAATGCATGCAATGTAGTACAGTTCGTCAATCTGCGTGTCTCTAAAAGTACAGGGAGGGGAGAGAAATGTTCAGTAAAAATCATGGAACAATTCACGTAATCCGCAATCGGGAATCGTTTTCCGGAAATTTTTGTAGGAATGGAAGAGGAGAAAGCTAAGAGGTTCAGGGAATTTTCAGGTTCAGCACCGAACAAAGTACGAAATTGTCACGTCATTTTTCCTGAAGAAGTCAAATCTTACAGAAACTTGGCGACTTATTATGCCTCGAATTTGGGAGGAACGATGAAGTGAAGTCATAGGGGTTGAAGCCAAAGTACGAAATTGTCACGTAATTTTTCCTGAAGAAGTCAAATCTTACAGGAACTTGGCGACTTATTATGCCTCGAATTTGGGAGGAACGATGAAGTGAAGTCATAGGGGTTGAAGCCAAATTTACTTTTAAGTTTAGTATTCGGTGAAAGGAAGACCATGACCTGAGGACCTTTAACCACTTGTGAAATTTAAACATTCTGTTTTCTAGTCTTTCTGTCTCTGTGAACTATCATCTCATTGTGGAGATAATGCGATAGTTTATATTGATGACCATTTTTCATGAACTTCGGGAATACATACTTGGATCAAAAATGTAGGAAATGTTAGATGTCTTGGGAAGGACTGGCGCACTGCCAAGTTGTCCCTCTCTCCTTAAATTCCCGAAATCCCAGCCATGATCGTCTTCTACCTGTTGGGTCTCTTCCATTTCCTGATCGAATTCATTATCATCGAAATTCGTGGCAGGCTGATGAGGTCTTCTATGCTGAAATAAAAGCAGCAAAACATGTTTCCCACACTGAGAGAAAAAACAATATTTTCTCGAACTAATCTAGTTTGAATCGAAAAAACCGCGGGTTGAAAATTACAAAAAAATGAAATCTAGTGCTCTTTTGAAGACAAAAGACAAAAAATTGAAATGCGGAAGGACAAAAATTGCAGTTGATTCCAATAACAATTGATGTTTTTTATTCAATTGTTAAAAATAAATATTTACCTCGAGATCTAAAAAATCCCGGAGATCGCAAACGCAAATTACAAAAGTGAACAAAACAAAAATATTGAAAATTCTATGGGTTCGCAATTTAAAAATTACAAAAAAGAGCAGACAAAAGACAAAAATTTAAAAAAATTTAAAAGTGCCATATTGTTGCAAACAAAAAATTGAAAAGCGTTAGCACAAAAATTAAATTTGATTCCATTAACAATTGTAGCTTTTTCTTCAATCGTTGAAGATGAATATTTACCTGGAGATCTAAAAAATCCTGGAGATCGCCACAAACGCAAATTACAAAAGTGAACAAAACAAAAATATTGAAAATTCTATGGGTTCGATAGTGCGTCATCTTTCGTATCCAAACGTCATCAGGGCACTGTCAACTACACCAGTTGATTCGCAGCCCTCACATTAGCTCGAAAACGCCTCTAATCGTCCCACGAACCCCTCACATTCCCCATAACGTCCCCCGTTATTACGAAATATCCATGAATAAATACCAATCAGTCTCCCCCGCTCTGAGATCAGTCGAATATGAAAGATAAAATCGAAAAAAAAAACACAGCTGTTGTGACCTACTGCCGCGGGTTATCACCACTGCTCCGAAATCTGACTGTCAATTCCGGAGAAAATCGAAATTGAGTACAAGTACAATTTTTCCATTAAAAATTAAGACTTTAAGTGGTTGAAAGTCAGAAAATGGTATTGTTTAGTGGAATTCTTGTTTGAGCACTGGAAACGCGACGTGTCAAACAGGTGACGCTAAATTCCACTGGGGTACCACCGAGGGGTAGGGACCACTGTTATCAACACAGTAACGATCGATTTTCAGTAAAATTCCTGGAATTTCTCTGACAGATGGGGCTGTTAGTCCTTAATAACAAGATTTCAGTTATCCTCCAGGCACATGAAAATTCCACAGAAAATTCCATTGACCTACATCCCCATCAAAAAATATTTTTTAAAATATATAATATGGGCCAATTGCATATATTTTTCAAATTTATAAAAAAACATGAAAAATATATAAAAGATATGATTTATATATTTTTATTTAAAAAAAACAATTATATAATTAATAATTAATAATAATAGTTTATAATTAATAATTAATTAATTATTAATTATTATTATTGTTATTAAATATTTGGATAAATTTATCTAAACAATATATAAAATATACGGTTTATATATTTTTTATATAAATTTACCTAATAAATAATAATAATGATATTAATTATAATATAATTATAATTAATTTACTATAATTTCAACAATATATTGAAATAATTTAATATATTATGAAGTAAATAATAATAATTTTTAGTAAATTATAATTTTTAAAATAACATGCCATAATAATCCTATAATTCTATAATTAAAAAAAATATATATAAAATATATTTTACATAGTTTACTTTTTTCATATAAATTGGGCCAATTTAATATATTTTTTCACGCATTCACCCAAAATTTGAAGTTTTCAAGAAATTTTTCCACTCTCCACACATTGCGGGTCACACAGGGTCAAACCGAGGTCATGATAAAAAAAGACTGACGAATTTATTTGTGTTTTTCATCAGGTAATAAACCTGAATTCAATTGTGTTCTTCATTGTCGATTTTCATTCAAAATGTTGAATTAATTATTCATCCCTAGAATGTCACCCCGGTGACAATAACACACAGCAGACTATTAATTACACCGACATCATCAATAATTCAATGGACGTATTCCCCAAAACATCAGACGTTTCAATTTTCATTCATCTTGAATTCCATTTAGTTTCCCCCGTGAATACATGGAGCGTTGAGGGATGCACGGGGGTAGGAGTTGCCAGAGTTGGACTCCGCTTTTCTAAACTTGAAGTAGGTCGGTTGTTTAGGTATAGGTACGCGTGTGTATAATCTTCGATGACCGGACTGGTTTCCCGTGATTCTTGTAGAGTGATACAGTAGTATTGTTGTTGAATGAGCGAATAAATGACGGAATACGACGGGAAAAGAAGTATTAGGGGAAATCGCGCTGGATTCAATTTTCAGTAAATTGAAAAGAGTTGGCGATTGACTTCTGGTGATTTGGGAATTTCATTTCCATGTGAAGATTACATCAGAATGATTTTTCCAACCGCCAGTATAATTACAAATATTCCTCCTACTCCTCCAGGCCTTTTTGCCTTTTGTTTTTTTTACTAGGGTTTTGCAAATTTCTTGGAATAATTTAGTGTTTTGGTTGAGGTAGGCAATGTGCAAGGCATCCTTGAGTTATTAAATACTTTGTGATTTAGATTCTGTGAATGAAAACAGGTGAATTGTCCCTGTATGGAGATATGGTAATAAGAAATTTTTATAAATTTTTTGTAGATAAATATGAATAAATTGCCCTGAGGAGTGGATATAATTTTCAATTCAATTTATGATGACATCACTCATGAGTGTTGCCATTCATCGTAAATTTTAGACCTCATTATGAAAATTGAATATTAAATTCAACTGAATTTTTCATGAATTGAGAATTCCGTATATTATTATACTGAAAGGAGGAAACCCTGGTTTAAGGGAATTCAGTGTTGTTAAATTACCCAGGAAAATTATTTCATCCGATCACTATAGTTTAGCACAATCACATCGTCGCTATGCAAATGCGGTGATGAAGAAGAAAACATCGATCCCGTCCTGTGGCAATGCCCGCTGTACGATGATTCCAGACAAATCGTGTTTCAAAAATTTATGAACCAAAATTTTTTTCCACCGTATCATGCACGAGGACTCCTCATTAGACTAGATAAAAACTGTCCTGCTATAATTATCGATTTTCTGTCATGTTTATGACAAGCAATATGTATGCAAATTGAACTGTAATTGTCCACAAATGCTTAAATAAAAAAAAAGGGCATTCCGTGAAATAATGGCCTGTATCGACCGGGAAATTAGAATTTCATTGAATATTCGGGGAAGTTACCTGATTTTTCAGTAACAAAGTGGAGATAAATTTCAATCCAATCGTTTTACAGAGAATTATATCAAACATTCTCACGAAAAATATTCTCAAACATTCTGACTAATGCAAGGCAATTTAAATAATGCTGAACAGAATTAGCAATCGATGAAAATGTCTCCTTCGAAACCTTTCGTTCGTAGTCCACAACTCGGAAACTCATAGAGCTAAGTTGACACTTACGCCATTGAATTCACTTTGTCTCACCTCCTTTGATGTCCCACTTCCCCCGAACTTTGGACTCTCAAGGGAACACCCAGGGAAAGAAGAAATACCGAGTAAAATCAATACCAAATTTCCATTGCAGATGAATTCAGCCAATTGCAAAATTGATTTCAGCGAGTTTATTCTCACTAACTCTGAATATCCATGATATGATTCGTCTGTATTTTCTCCACTGTAATTTTCCTACATTTATACCCGACATTCCCGGGAATATCGAAAACTCTCACTGTGCATGAATGGAGTTTCTCTCGGCTTCTCTATTTTTTTTTTACCACTCAATATTGGAGGTGCAGCGATGCGTATTTCATCGTGAGAAGCTTTAAAGTTCATCGCTCAACACTTGTACCGGAGCACGTGATCGTGATAAAGTTGCAGGCATTGTGATACAGCAACTTGATGCACGCTATCTACTTCAACGATCCATTGTGGGCTCATTCGAGGCTCACTTGCATGATGCTTATGAATTCATGTAAAAGAGCAAGGTGGATTAGATGTTGAGGTATTGTTCATCAGGATTAATGGTAGGTGATCAAGTGCGTAAAAAAATGGACCTTATTGTTATGATGGAAAATTGATAATTTATAAATTATTCACAGAAAATGCTCCTAAATTCCAAAAATTTCATTTTTTAAATTATTTCATAATTTTGTTCCCGAGAATTTTATATTTTTCTCAGATTTAAAAAATGTTTTCCAACAGTTCAACATCCAGATTCAAATGTAGACTCGCAAATTCTAAAAAATTCAAACGTTTTTAACATAATTTTAAGTGATAAAAATAGAAATAGTATAATAATAGTAATAACATTTGAATAATATACAATAATAATATAATAAAAATATGTGAAATAGTATTTCAAATGATTTTAAGTAATAAAACAATTGCATAAATCAAATGAGTTCCCTTATGGATATCCTCAAGTTAAGAGTTTCTAAAGTCTCAATATGAGACTTTGAGATTTAAATTTAAGCCCGGAATTTTTCTGGAATTTAAAATTTAATCTCAATGTAATTCACAATATTAGATCCTAAAGAGGTCAATACTGCATTAGAGAGATCTATTATCGAATCCATACGACAGATGGACTACTTTGTACGAGGAAAAGCGATTGGGTGATTCATCCGGTGGGCATTAACAAGGCATGCACGAGTCCCGTGAACGTGTCCCCATGAACGAGGAGAGACACTTAGTCATATCAGGAACATTCGGGGCTCACCGGTAGTCGTGCTCCAGCACTTAAGATTACTGGACGGTTATAATGCGCGGTGCGAGCAGCGGTTTTACAGAGAGAAAATAAATTATTTGGAGTGACGAGAGTCAAAGTGGATTTTACAATGGTCATTAGCCGGGGATCGACATTTCTCGGTGGGCAATGCCCTCCGAAAGAATGTGAACATTAAATTAACAAAATTATTAAATTTTTCGAATGCCCGACCCGAAGGGAGGAAATTATCGCAATGACCCCGAAAATCGATTGCCAATTCAATTCAAACGATGCGATTCCATTTTTTTTCACAGCGGAAAAATGACATTTTTTGTAAAATTTTATGATTCCGCTCAAAAAAACCATGAGATTAATTGTCGTGATAATTTATGCAATTTTCTTTGATTAGGACTGGAGTGACATTCCAGTAAAATAGTCTCACCGGTTTCGGAATAATTCGAACACGAATTTTTTAAATTTGAAACTTTTCTTCATTCGATTTTTCTGTTTTTTTTTCATTAAGAAAATCAAACAAAAAAAACTTAGACAATTTAAGCTGATAAATTCAATGCGAGCGAACGCATTAGTATGCGAACGCATTTTCTTGAAATACTCCTAGAAAGTTAAACGACGAAACAGACATAATTTTTTGAATTGAAACCTTCTTCAGCATTTGGAATCCCAAATTATGAAGATAAGTTCTGAATCCTTTCGAGAAACTTTACGATTCACTCTCCAGTTTTTTTAAAGCGAAATGGCGAAAAATATCTCGTAAAATCTCGACTTCACGGAGCACTTTGAATAATCTCGAAACTGACTCGCCGCACTCTGAAACAATTCGAATATTCATTTCCCCCGATAGACAGCGATTTGAGAGAATTGCTGTTCGCGAAGATGCAGTGAAAAATATACAGCGAGTTTTTGATAAATGAGGGAGAGGGACGCGAGCGTTCGGGTGGGAGCTCTGGCTGTCTTGGGGTTGGAGACTGGCCACAAATCTTATCCCCCTGGCATCCTTGTGAATATCGTAGCACATGTACACATGTATTCAGACAAAATGTCTGGGATAACGGGGCAAGCGATTTGTGATGAATCATTCGGGATTACTAATGAAATACCCAATACCCAAAAAATGATGTGAATAATTTATCACGGAGGGGGGTATTCACGAATTGATCTCCAGTGATCATTGAATATTCGATGGGAATGATGGAATTGGATTGGAAGTAAGCGGACGATCGGGGTAATTAAATTTAATGGAATAATGGTATTAAAATTATTGGTGTTTCGGTTGAAGAACGTTTTTTTTTGCAGTTACAACATTTTTGCGAT